TATTAGACCCCCCCGCGGGGGCATCGTGGGATCGTCGTGGGATCGTCGTGGGATGCGCGCGTATTAATCTTAAGTAGATCTTAAGATAGAGTTTAAGTTAATCGCGAATTCGAACAAAAATACACTCTTTAACTTAAAGCGAAGAATAAAAGTTTCAATTTTTTTTTTTCAAGTAAATCTCGATACCTTGAGCCTTCGTTTTCATTATTTGTTCATCTCCATTTTCACTCGTTTATTTCTTATTTGTTATTCTTCATTATCTCTTACGTTGGTTACTTTTACGAGTTAGTTATTTCTCATCTTCTTTTAAGTCACCGTCAACCACGTGTCGCGCAACAGTGGCAGAAGTCGTTGGGCGGATGCTCTATTTCCGTTGGCCAGTCGAAGGTTCGCGCTCTGTTCGATTGGTACTTTCGAGTACTCGATCAGAGTTAGACCTGGTGGTCGAACGTCGTCTCTGTAATTCGGCTCCGGTGGTCTAGAGTTTACAACTCTATGCTCCTTCCTGTTGTGTCGTTGGGACATTGCGTTCGGTTGTTAGGTCGCCGTCGTAACCCTCTACTGACCATACTGGCAAATATCATCCGTCTGGCTTGATTTTGTAAGTCCAGTGATGTAAGTCGTGATGCGAGGGTGGCAGTGATTTTTTTTTTTTCCAATTTCTTCTTCATTTTTGTCATTTTTATCTATCATCGATGTTCTTCTTCGATGTTCTTGCTTCGTTTTTAAATATTAGTATTTTTTGGATTTTCTTTCATTGAGCATTGTTTAAATTTTATTTGAAATAAATAAATAATTAGTTATAATTGTATTTTCTTCGCTTTAAGTTGTATGAGAGTATTTTTGTTACAATGTTATAGATTTAAGATTTAATATTAAGGTGTAAATTAAGATAGATATAAGTAATATTATAAGTTAAGTAAGCGAGCGATAAATTGCGATGAATGTAAAAAAATTTTGTAAAGATCGTTGTAAAAATAATTGTATATTAATTTATTTATTTTGTTTCAGATTTATTTATTTAATTTTTGCATGTTATTTTTTCTTGTTTTGTTATATTTTTTAATTTAATTAATATTTGTTATTTATATTTTATGTTTAATTTATATTTTATATGTTTTATATGTTTCTAATTTATTTATATCGTTAATTTTATTGTTTTGTTTTTATTATTTAGCTTTAGGTGGGTCTCGATGCGTAGTCACCTCCTCGTTGGTGAGACCTGGTAATTGGCATCGTTTTCCAAAATTTTTTTTTTCAAAATTTTCTTTTAAAAAGAGTACAATGAAAAATATTTTATTAAAAAGATTCAATAATTTTTATTAGTAATTTTTTTCGGAAAAGATGCCAAGCTAAGAACTACGCATTAATTCATTTTTTTATGTTTCAGGATTCCCTAATTTAATGAGCTTTTGTATTTTCTTTTTTTTTATTTATATATTTTTATATATTTATTTAATTTCTTAAATTCTTTTATTACGTTTTTAATTTTTTTCAATTTTTATGTTAAATTAATTTTCGTATTTAATTCTTATTATATTTTTCAGAAATGGATCTTTGTAGAATTTCAATGTATAGGAAACTATAATTAATGTTATATTATGCAATATTTTAATTTTCGCGCGGTTAAGTAAATAGGTTCGCATTGTTTTAACCAATCAGAAAGCTTGTAAGAAAACCTGTAATGCATGGCGTCATATTTCTGCCGAAAATCATCGAAACGAGACGTATTGTCGGTGTGAGTGATCTCAATTACGCAGTAAGTACTTAATTCTACTTATTCTTCACTTTATTGTGGAATTTATAGACTATATTAAAGATTGTGATAACAAAATTAATTAATCTTTCGAGTTTCTTTGTGTTTTTTCCTTCGATGGACTATTTGATTGTTGAGGTTACCGGTATTACTCGTATTCCACGTATGAGTTTTTCAAGATTTCAAATCGTTATTATTTTATTTTGATATAATTTTAATTATATACATTTATTTTTCGGTTTTGATTTTTATTTGTGCAGATTATAATTCGATTAGGATATCGAAGGAATAATGCTGTCCATATAGCATGCACATGTCATGATGATTTATAGCTAATTTTCCTATATATTAGGTAATAACATTTTATTTCTTTTCGTAAAAATAGATGTATTTCAAATAGATTTCTTTTATCTTTTTGTTCGTATTGAAAAATGAATGTACAGTAGTTCGTCATAATATATTTTATTTCGTTGAATTATTTCAGTAATACATACATTCATTTTCCAAGTGTTCATTTAATTATATTGTTTATATAGATATATATATTTTTTTTGTCTGTTATACTTAAAATTATAAATATTTTTTATTATACTATTTTTTCAAGAAATTGAGATTCGTTGGTACATGTTCGATAAGTTTCGATTTATTGCCGAATTATCGATCGCGTCCCCTTGTATTTCGATAATCGAAATTGAGTGCGAGATATCACTGTCGTATCGATAATTGTAGTGCTAACTGCGTCATTTCCGCGAAGTGTGTGATTTATCTATTGCGTAGTATTTATTTGCATAAATACTGTTTTTTATTGTTCATATATTAGTGTGTATTATTAATACGTCTTTGTTATTGTAATTAGAAGTTTCTTTAGTGATTAAATTATTCTTTTTCTTTCATTTATCTATATTTTCATGTAATAGATTGGTGTTACGAATATTTCATATTTTGACTTTTTAAAATGAAATTTGTGCTTGATCGATATTTTATTTTAATATTTTTGATTAATTTTATATATTTTATACATTTTATGCGCTTATTTGATAGTTTTGATTTCGTTTCGTACAGCTGTTAATTTTTGGGTTAGCTTCGAAAGCGGGAAAAATTCCAATATGGACGCCATCATGTCACAATGACGCAGTAAAATTTGATATTTTGTACGTATATCATTTTTCTTTTATCTCATCCTATTAATACAACTTTATTTTCAGAGAATTTTGTTTTTAGAAAATTTTTGTGATCGCGTGCAATGCGATCAGTAAAATCAGTGTTTATTTCGTAAAAGTTTCTTTATAATTTTTCTATAATCGCGAAATTAGAGTCAGTATTTGTTCGCCGATTGTAACATAAACGAACGAGTTAATAGTCTTTTATTTTTTTTCTTTTTTGAATATTCGTTTTCGGTACAGAGTAGAATCAGTGCATCAAGAGAATAAAGTGATCATCAATCACGCGAAGAGGTTATTATTCTTTTATATTTTTTTTCAATTCTTTAATTTTTTATATTTTATTTACGTATTTTTTAAGAAAAAAAAATTATATTTAATGTTTTTTTCTTTTTATTAAAGGTATTGGACTTCATTGTAGACATTAGCCTTGAAATTAGAAAATAACAATATTTGTGACCGCGTGCAATGCGGTTAATAGAATCAGTGTTTGCTTCGTAAAAGTTTTCTTAAATCCTTAAACGGATAACGCGAAATTAGAATCAGTGTTTGCTTCGTGAAAGTTTTTTTAAATCCTTTAATGGATAACGCGAAATTAGAATCAGTGCTTCTCTCAAGAGGACAAGACGATCATCCATCACTCGAAGGTAATTATATTTTATTCTATTCAAATTCTTCTTTCATTCGTACAGAATCATTTAAAATTTTAAAATTTCAAATCTTTGTATTAAAATTTCAATTTTTAATACTATTATATCACTCTAATAGAATTTTAACCTTTCTTATTATAATTTTTTCAATTATTAATTAAAAAAACTAAACGTGTTTTTAATTATGTTGTTCCATTTTTATGTTACAGATGCTTGACCATGTCCACAACTATTTGTTATGACAATGGCCTCCTCGAGTACTTCCTAGTTCTTCGCTTCAAACGGTGAGTCGCATGCATTTATGTTCCTCCAGTCACTCAATCATGTCGTAGGATGAAAGATCCGAATCGACACGAGTGATTGGTTGTATACGTAGAATTTTGCACGAGCACAGTGACCACGGGTATTTAATATACCCGTGAGTAGTAACATTTTTTACATGTTTTATTTATTAGTATAGGCTAGGTTTTCTTGTGCATCGCGTTTTTGAATGTTTTAATAATAATTCATGTAATATATTATTGATATAATAAAATAGATTGAATAAAAATTGATATTTAAAATTAATAAATTGTAGTATTATAGATTATATTTAATATTTTCAGAATCAAATTATTATGTGAATATATTTGTCTATGAATTAGATATGTATATTTTAATTAGTAATAAATGATTGAAATGACGTTAATTAAATAATGGAGAAATCAGATGTTATCCAACTTCGTTGCAATTATTATATAACAGTTATGAGCTCAAGTATTATCGTTAATGCGATAATATTCTATTATTTTTAATTTTCATAATAGTATATTACATGATTTATTTATTCGATTTTTAGAATATTAATAATATTAGAACTTTCGTAAGAATGTATGAAATCTTATGCACAAGAAGACATTTCGCGACAAGCAGATTTCAAAATCAAAGCAACAAATTTTGAACATTGTTTTTGTATTTTTCGAATCATGCTTTGATTAAGGAATCGCTTGAGGTTTCTATTAATAATTCAATTAATTTTAATTATTTTATTTTAAATTGAGTCTTAGTATCGATATTTTTTATTATCAATAAATTTTTATCAATATTTTTATATTATATTTAATATTAAATTTTCAATATTGAAGTCATTATAGTAGAATTTATTTAAATTTAAAAATAAAAGAAATTAAAGAATATTAGCCCGTTAGAAAAAAGATTCATTAATATTTTTTTAGCTCAGGATTTTCAGGTTTAACCCCTTCCATGTTCGTTGCCAGGATCTCACTCACGTGCTCAGGTGCTACTTGGGTGAGAGAGAGGCAACGAGCATGATGACTTTAGTCCATAAGTTTCTAACAATTTCTCAGCGACTGACGATGCGTTAATGTATCGTGCGCGACGTAATTTCCACATTATGTGTGTGTGTGTGTGTGATTAGGCTGTGGAATTACGTCGTTTCAAATTTCTATTCTAATTCTATTATTAATTAATAATAATAATTTCCAATATATACTATTTATTATTAATAATAACTTTACCAATAATAAATTATTATTAAAATTTATATCATCTTTTTGACGAAATCATTTCGTTAAAAGATATATATATACGTTTTTTCGTGATTCACGCAATGGTCGCTAGCCATCGTCAGTCGATTTCAGGAAAATGGTACGTAAAGTTAGAGTGTGAAAGACGCGTGCCAAGCCCGGGTGTCGGAGGCGTCCCGGGACGCTTTCCCTAGTGTAGGCTCATTGCGCCCGGGTGTTATGCGTGAGAATCGTTGGAACGAATGTGTTGGTGTGCCCGTTTTGCCAATTTTTAAATATAGGGTTAGGCAGGACAGGTAGCATACTTTCTGGTGCGAATGTTAGTGGATAAGTAGGTAGGGCCGGGCAGGTT